GTGTGTGCCATGGTGTGTGCCATGGTGTGTGTGCCATGGTGTGTGCCATGGTGTGTGTGCCATGGGGTGTGTGCCATGGTGTGTGCCACGGTGTGTGCCATGGGGTGTGTGCCATGGGGTGTGTGCCATGCTGTGTGTGCCATGCTGTGTGCCATGGGGTGTGTGCCATGGTGTGTGCCATGGTGTGTGCCATGCTGTGTGTGCCATGGTGTGTGTGCCATGGTGTGTGCCATGGTGTGTGTGCCATGGGGTGTGTGCCATGGTGTGTGCCATGGGGTGTGTGCCATGGTGTGTGCCATGGTGTGTGCCATGGGGTGTGTGCCATGGGGTGTGTGCCATGCTGTGTGCCATGGGGTGTGTGCCATGCTGTGTGCCATGCTGTGTGTGCCATGTGGTGTGTGCCATGATGTGTGTGCCATGCTGTGTGTGCCATGGGGTGTGTGCCATGCTGTGTGCCATGCCGTGTGCTGCCGTGTGCTGTTCCATGCTGTGCCGGGGAGCCAGAGTGGGAAGCGTGGGCTGTGCCAGGAGCCAAGGGGGAGCATCAGCCTCCAACAGAAAACACAGAGTATCAGAGTGCCATTAGCCTGGAGAGCGGCTGATGGAAAAGGCTGGTCCCGGCAGCGAGGGGAGCGGTGATTTAATTAACACCGAGGAAGAGCATGGTGTCAGTGCGTGGGCTGGCTGAAATGGGGGATGCAGGTGTCTCCTTTGTGTCCTGGGAGACTGGAGAGGGCTGACTGTACTTGTGGGGAATGGGATAATGCTGAGTTGTGCTGGAGCCAGGGCCGGGCAAGGAGAAAAGGGGAGAGCCAGGGATAAATGCCTTGAAGCCCTGTCCTGGGGTGCTCCAGCTCGGTGATGAGAAGCAAAGGCACTCCACAGTGGCAGTGTCTGCCACAGGGGTGGGTGCACAGGGGATATTGTGTCTCCAGGAGCAGTCATCACCCCAGCTGGTCTCCTCCAGTGTCTGACAGGGCAGCAGCTCCAGCCAAGGGCCTGGTTTGTGGCTGTCTCTGTCCAAGACACCCTTATGCCCCTGCTCTGTCCTTGTCCCTGCCGCCATCCGTGTCCTAGCTACTGTGAGACTGTGGTGGCCACAAGTCCATCCCCAGGGAGAGACAAGCCAGTCCCTTTGCACATCAGCATCACCCAAATAGCCACAGGTGTAAGAGCATCCCACCCCACAGGGACCCCTCAGGGCCCCCACGATGTCCCAGGCATCCAGTGATGGTTTGGGGACTCTGTGATGCCATGGAGACCCCATGATACCAACCAGGCGATGCCATGGGGACATTCATTGTGCCAGCATGCCAGCTGGAAGTAGCTGGATGCTTTGAGGGGGTTGGAGGGAGTGAGAGGGTCTTGGAGATACTTTGATTGCCCCCCAAAAATGCCTCACGGGTCTTGTGTGTGCCTGCTGGCTGGCCTGGCCTCGGTTCCTGCCAGAAAAGACAACAGGATGGAGAAGTCCTGGGATGCTGCATGGTTGGAACCTGCTCCCTCCAATTCCAAATCCGTTAGCTCATCCCTTTACAGCTCCCTGTTTTTCAGGCTTTTCTTTGGAAAGGAACGAAGCCAGAGTAAAACGGTGACATGCTTTACACTGGTTCTGATTTATTTCACGTCTTACTATTGAATCTTATTCCCTGTTTTCACAGTTGTTGTGGATTTTCACCAAAGGGGATAAACAGGTCTGGGATTTGGGGTTGTCATAGGAACTGCTTTTGTGCCACAGCCTCACTGCCAGCCTTGTCCCTTCCTGACAGAGTGAGGGCTCTGGCCAGCACAGCGGGGGCATCTCCACCCCCAGGCACAGCCCCAGTGACAGCTGGGGTACGAAGCAGCTCCCCCATGGGACTGGGATACTCGGGATGTTCAGGGAGGAAATGGACTCCTAGGCAGTACCCAGTCATGTCCACGAAGCAAACTGAGACCCCCAGGCTGCAGAACAGGGCTTTAAGTTGAGAAGAGCTGAAGGTATTTGGAGGATGCTGCTTTTCCTTGTGGATTCTCTGGTATCTAGTAGGAGGTTGTGCTCTTGCAGGTATTGCTACTGGGAACCTCTCTGGCCAACTTGGGATAATTTTCATTAAATCCCTGGAGCTGAAGGGGTATGGAGTGGATGGGGACCTGCCCTATGACTATTCCTCATCTCTTCAATTGCAAGGAGACGGGGTAGGCACTGAAACTGAAATGTGTCACGCACATCCTTTGTGCCTAACACTCCTTTGGCCCGTGTGGTCCTTCACTGCGGGACACCATGAGGCCAAGACTCTGGCAGTGATTAAAGAGGGGTTTCCAG